AAGCGGTGAATGCTCCAACACTGGAAGTTTTTAAGAAGAGACTGGACAGCCATTTGTCCAAAATGGTATAGGGTTTCCTGCCTGAGCAGGGGGTTGGACTAGATGACCTTCAAGGTCCCTTCCAACTTTACTATTATTATTATTATTATTATTATTATTATTATTATTATTATTATTATTATTATTATTATTATTATCTAGACGGCAAGATCATGCTCAGTTAAACATAGGTATATCTGTCTTTGGATCATTTGGGCAACACAGAAGAGTCAAAGCAGAAAAAGGAGGAGGATAGGAAGTATTACAAACTACAATTCTGTAATGCATTATTTAAAATGATTTGTGGTAAGAAAGTGAGAGAGGAAAAGATGGAAAGAAGACATCAGAAGCCATAGACCAATTAGTAGGCAAATTAATCAAATAAAACCATGCTAGATTTTGTACAGCAAAGGGATGGTAATTATAATAAAACATTCCTCAAAATAGACCAGAATTATCATCAGCACTATTAATTTCTCACTGCAATTTCTCTCCAACATTTTACGTTCCGTTTCTAGTCACATTTTCATTCTTACAATAATACCCACTATTTTTAGCAGCAAGCTACTAAATACACACCTCCCTTTCCCCATCCATGATACCTTAATCAGAGCTTTCTGATTTTATTCCAAGGCGAAATAACATTCAAGCTATTAGGTGCATATTTTGTGAAAAGACACCTCCCCCCATTTCTATTCTTGCCAGGAAAATAAAATTCTGCTTGGCAATATTCAGGTATAAGAAGTTCTAAATAAAGGGTTATTAATTGAAACATTTGAATTTTAGACCAAAATGCCAGTTGCTTTAAGTTTCTTTCCTGTATTGCACACGCGCAGAAAGAGAACACAGCAGCTGACTGAGGAATCAGAGACCTTTTATGAAAACATAAGTCTTGATTTCTGTCTCAAAAATAAAAGTAAATTGAACCAATAAAACAAAGGAGGGAATTGAACAAACTTCTTTATGGATAGATCTATTACTAACAGAATGAAGGCAAGCATTTATTGTCTGCAAAGATCTGGACAACCAGTATGTGTCAGCAAAGGGTTAACATGTTGGCATGTCTTTGCTGCTGCATAGTGGTCAGCTGGATTTCTGTAGAGTAGACCAGTGGTGGCGAACCTATGGCACGCATGCCAGAGGCGGCACTCAGAGACCTCTCTGTGGGCACGCGCACCATTCCCCGGAGATGGCAACCGTCCCTCTTCAACCAGCCACCCACTAACTTGCTGACGTCCCACGTCGCTGGATGCATTCCAGCATGGTTGGTTTCCCTCCCCCCCCATCCCATCCCTCCTGTCCTCACGTGCTCTCCTTTTCCCGGGCACGATCCACTGCATCGCCTCCTCAACTGTCGACTGGCCATCAAGCTCAGAGGTGGCTTCTCTGAACTGCTGGCAGCGGACTGCGGAGCCCTAGAGTGCACCGGTCAAAGGGCCGGCAGGCTATGGCTGCTGACGGACAACGTCGGCCTCCAGGCGCTCGCTGGCCTCTTTGTGCGGGGACCAATGGTGTCAAGCAGCAGCTGCCCCGGCCCCTGCCTCGCCTCGTGACAATGGTAACCCCGCTCTGCCTCGCCTTGCCTCACCTCACCCCACAGGCAAGCCTCCTGCCCACCGCCCCACCTGCCAGAGACCCTCTGGATCTCCCCCAACCCTGCCTGGCCCCCACAGGTGTCCCTCCCCACGAGCAACATTGAGGTGACCACGCCCTCCTTGGCCACACCCATCCAGTCTGTCATGACCA